AGACTGCGACGAAGAGTTAGCATCTAACCGGCGACTACGTATGCGCGTCAACCTGAACGGGAGACTGCAACAGCGACCTAGTCACTAACCTGGAGAATGCGACGGGCAGACAGGCAATAACCCGAGACCGCGGCAGCGCGAAAAACAGCTAACGGAGGCTGACTTGTATCGCGTGCCTGGTGTAATAGCGTGGCGAACTAGACGGATTAATAATGGGCAATCAATATCAACAGCACGGGCATCTCCAGCACAAGAACTTGGAAAACACATGCCCGTCGTTCAGGAAACTCATTGAAAGAAGATCAAACAACGAAACTGGACATAAGCATGCCTATCTAAAACAACCCTCATAGTTTTTGTGTCTCCAGATTAGCTGCTTTGTAGTAATCGAGTTTACAATCGCATTAAGTGCGTTATCAAATAAAATAGGTATGTAAATAAATCGGTGAACAGTTCCAGTTTTTTACCACTGTCAATATATCAACGGCTTTTGGAGATGTAAAATATTTTTTATTAACAATATAAGTAGATAATAGAAGTAGATCGATACCGACCTTGCTGGTTGAAAGCTGAGATCCTGTTACAGTATTTATCAATGTACCTGTTTGACACCACCGAGCCGTTCTCATGGTATTGAAATCAGCGTCAGCCGCCTCTGACCGACACCGATAGCCTTGGGAGGGGCACCGCGAGGCCCCGGACGAAGGAGAAGACGGCAGATACCGATCGCCAAAGACATATTTAGTGCCTCTCTCGGTACCATAGCTCGAACGTATCGGGCTGCGGCGCCGGAGCCGGCCCCCGATGATTTATCCGCAGTCGGCGAGCCGTCGACAGACGGCTGATGCAGATGGTGCCCGTGTAATTGATTTAGTCGGGGGTGTGGCGCCGTCAGACAGGAAATGCCACAGGCGACTCTTTGTGAGAGATATAGCAGATCAAAAGCATAACAGACCAAAGCGGTCATTTACTGAGACTTTGAAATAATTGTTATGAGTAATGAAAGGAATGCCCGAAAAACGGTTGAAAATATTGACGGCAAGGAAAAAAATCAACTCAACGTCTGAGCCACTTCCCACCCAGCAAATTTTGATCGCACAAGGTCACGTGAGCACCAGTCTGGCGCGCCTCTATCAGCAATCGGTCACGTGTTCCCGGTCACGCGTAATTGCCAGCCGTTACTTACATAACTTCCAGCACCACTCACCAGCACCACCAGCAGACGTGGGAAACATGACCCACCGGGCCAGCCGGACGGCGACGCGGCCGGTTTTTACTCTTATGATCATGCGCGCCTCATCATTGCCTGTTGTAGCACCTGAGTCACCTTGCCAGTCACTGGCGCCGAGGTTTTGTTTTCGATCGAGCCGGGCCGGTTAATGTTACGGCTGGTTTAGAGCTCAATAAGTTGCCATTAGGGGCTGTCGACATGCACAATGACGACCGCAGAGCGGGGATCGTGACAGAGAGGAGCGGTCATCTGCCGCGATACAGGGTGCTTCTGCACCTGCCCAGACATCGAGTGTCGGCCTGACAGTCAAGGCCGAGGCCAACCCACTTGAGCCGTGAGATATAGGCTCGTAGCACACTTACACAGTCACAACGAGCACCAAGCACCTCATGCCGGAGACAGCTGAATATTGAAGGTTGGTTCCGCCCATTGGGAGTCAACTGAACCAGCGACAGCTGAGCCAGGCGCAACAGGAGACAGTTGAACCAGTGGACTCTGAGGTGGACAGCGGCTGAATAAGACAGTGGATAAGACAGTGGACCAGACAGCCCGATTAGATGAAAAGCAAGACGACCGAGCACGTTGATAGCAAAACAAAGAACAGCACTAAAGGACATGATGTGGAGTTTGCTAATGTAATAATTGAATGAGGAACGATTTCTTGTGGAGTAAAGTCCTCATTCAATTATTACAAAGAACAGCCTTACCGTACTCGAGACACCCGAAATCTGATATCATGAGTAAAGAAGATAAATTAGATGAACGGCATATCAGCCAGCGTTGAAATCAGCTCAATGTCCTCCTATGCTCCCATCTCAAGATCCGGAACGGGTTGACATAATAGACCGAAAAGAGCAACAAATCTAACGCAATGGATCCACCGACCTCACGCATCATTATCAAATTTCAAACGCCATCACCTCACAGATCTAACACGAGCAAGTGGCGAGCTGCCAGGCCGAGTAACCGAGGCGTCGCGGCGACGAGCGCCAGGATTAACCCGCGCGGGGCTGGGGGGGGGGTAAATTTTACCCCCCCTCGCGAATTTTTGCGATATCTCAAAAACGGCGGCGCGCAGCGCCGCCAAACTTTCAGTACCTTTTCTTACATCAATTTGACACGTTCCCTGAAAATTTGAGCGAAATCCGTCGGAAAATTTTTGAGAAATTGACGTTTTAGTGACGTCATGTTCGCCATTTTCGCCTCAAAAACGGCAAAAGTTCAAACGCCGCTAACATCTTCATTTTTAAAGGAATCAAGACGTAACGAAAAAGGTTATACGTAATTTTACTTTGTCTATCAAATGGCTATCTCGGTTTTTTGAAAATTTTGGAATTTGGCCTAAATTTTTTCAAAAAACTAACTTTTTTGGGAAAATCATTATAAAATCCAAAATTTTGAGTCTATCGAAAAAACCGGAATATATGTCAGAGAAGTGGTCTATGTGCACCTACATACCAAATTTTAGAAGAATCGGTTCAAAAATGTGGGAGTTATTCAAAATTTTATGACGTCACGACACACAAATTTTTTTGAAAAATTACTTTTTTGGAAGTTCTAGACCTCGTACGGAAACACAAATAGCACCATTCGATTCGCCGTGAAAAACTGCATCAGATAGATACCTTTTTAGGCCTTAACAACCAACTTCAAAATTTGACCTCACTTGACCTGACCTTGACCTGACCTCGACCTGAAATTCATCCAGAGGTGGTCCATATCACTTATTGAGTGTGCCTATTGAATTCAATGAGTAAAATGACCCATAAAACATGTGTCGCACATGCCCTTTTCTATATTTTGTTTTTTGGTGACCTGACCTGACCTGACCTGACCTTGACCTTGACCTCTAAATGATGTTGTATGCAACGAATATTGTCTTGGTAGCCTAAGAACACGTTTTGGGCGATCAGTCTCAGTCCATGACTCCATTCTTCGGTAACTACGGTGCAAGGCCGATACTGTAGAAACTTGCAATTTGTACCCTTGACCTGACCTTGACCTTGACCTCAAACTTTAAATTAAGTACATGTTTTTAGTAGTTCGTGATGAGAGCTTTCGATTGGCGTTTGAATTTTCCAAATCGGACCATTAGTTCGGGAGATAACAGGGGGGGTAAAATTTACCCCCCCCCCCCAGCCCCGCGCGTTCGGCTGGAGACCCCAGCCCCGCGCGGGTTAATGACGGGGATCACTCGGAGTAAAAACCCCGATTAGCGACCGATAAGCTGGGGCGACCGCCGGCGGCGGCCTGGGGCGGAGGACAGAGAGGTACAAATTGGAGTCCTCCCGGACCTCCTGGTAACAGGCCGCCCACACGGCGGCGGCAGGACGGGGTCAGTGACCTCACGCAGAGACAGAGCTGTCGCGCGCCGTCAATAAAGGACATTTTTGGGACAGATTAGAAACTGGATGCTATTGTAGACATTGTGCGATGCGAGGTATCCCAGACCACTGTCGGTTAAATGGGGGTTGAGCGATACCGTGATGACTGGTGATCCTCGTCACGAACAGTGATCATGACATGCGCTGCTGCTCACACGGCAAATAGAGTTACGGGACTCGCACAATCGATGGAAATAAATACGAGCTCCTCCGTGACATTGACCCTTCCTCGAAGCCCGGAGCGCAAGGGTCAAGGAGCCCATAATCTCGATCTGCGCAATAGCATCTACTGATCAGGAGCTGACCTTGTATACAGATATATGCATTGAAAGCTATTTGTACTTGCTTGTTTAGCAAGTTCAATGTTGTTTGTTTGCCTTTGTTCGAAGAGAAGAATCGTAGAAGAGGATCCCCCTTCAATGTCATGGGCAGAGGACATCAGAAGGGGAAGGGGAAGCGTTTAGGTAAGTCATGAGAGCGGTGAATAAATTGGTGCACAACATTCCTGATAAGACACCTGAAGACCAACCGGAAAATCAATTGTGTCATTCATCCACTGATGAGAAACAAATGCGTTGTGCGCCAACATTGTCCTCAAGAGATCAACACGCTCAATGGTTCAAAGGACGCATCAACATGTCCCAAAAAGGCTAGGGAGCTTAACTGAATCCGAGCATTCGTGAATGTGATGAGGTAAGAGCCGGCTCCCTGCGATCTATAGTACTTTCACTGAAGCTCGGAAAAAGTATCATTGTCTTGCTCGAGGTCCAGGTTTTCTCTGGCACGGAACGGTGGTTGGGAATCGGGATGGAACGATAGCCTAACTGCAGCTATTAATCCCGCGAATCCTTCGAGAAAATCGGTACCAATTTTCATAAAGAAGTCCCGGGAGGATAAGCTGCTACCACGAAAGCGTGAATTTGAAATAGTATTGGCGTAGGTAACAGCTTCGAGCACCAAATTCGATTCCTGGAGCCCCAAAGTGCATGTCATGGCAATAGGTAGCCGATTTATGCTCTCATGGGCCTTCTACGAATAAAGACACCAATCTACCGTGTAGGTACTCATAACTCATACCCAGCAAGCATCCAGCTAAAATAAATATGAAGGTTTACGTACATACAATGCAATAACTGGAAATCGTTAACTATTAACTCGTTAGCGAACGCATGTAAACATCAAGACCTAAGTCACGCAACCGAGCATGATCGGATTTTAATGGCACTGAGTCTCAAAAAGGTCAGTCATTTACCGATCATCATAAAAGGTGCGTCCAGTCATCGGCCAGCCAGCCACTTCTCATAAATATTGCAGAATTTGATCAGCTTCCGGCCCTCCGATTTAAGGTTTTTGTTTATGAATTTGGTTCTCCTTGCAGAGACCACTTTAGCGATCATGTTTCATTTTATTGAATCGGTTCTTCAACGACTTGAGCTTGAAATGACGCAGGCAGGAGTTGATGGCAAACAATGAAAACATGACCAACACTTCAAGTTGTTCATCCACGCAAACGCCCTTCAATCTGTGTTCGTTTAGATCTCACACAAAATACACGTCAAATACCGGTCGAAGTCGGCAGTCACACACGTCTCAGCTATACAGATTTCAACCACTCACACTTCTAAAATATCAACCATACCACAGTCTGTCTGGCGTCATGTAACAACCCCTCCTATCCCCGTCCCCACCTCAAAACCACCTACAACCCTCCCCGCCGTCTGTCCCCACCAGTCGCCACACCCCCGTCAACTTGCCGTGACGGTCTCCACCTCCATTTTCTCTGAGCTCTCTACCGCCGGTATCTCGGCCAGTTTCTTCCCGTCTCCGGCCGCGGCGGCCGCCAGCAGCATGTCCAGGCCGCCCTGCAGCGCGTACAGGCTCTCCAGGTACTCTGAGTGTTTCTCCACGGCCGCGCGGAGCCCGTCCAGCGCCAGGTCGAGGTCGGGGTCGCCGCGGCCCACGCGGTCACTGTACGCCTCGACTATCACCTCGGCGGCGTCCAGCAGAGTCAGAGAGAAGCGCGGCTGCGACAGGTGCTTCCCGACAAAGGTGCACAGCTTGCGGACGGAGAGGGCGGGCCGACCGGCCACAGCCGCCGAGAGCGCACCGCGCCGCAGCAGCTCCTGCATCACGGCCACGGCGCGCTCGGGCTGCTTGCGCGTCACCTGGCGCTCCATGACGGCGTCGAGGGCGCGCGAGAACTCGAAGCGCCGCAGGTGGCGGTCGTAGTTGTCCAGCTGCTGACGGATCGGCGCCGCCGACGCCTGCCGGGTCAGGTCGGGTCAGGTCAGGCGGGTGGAGAGGTGACACTGTGACTAGATAGACGCAGAGGCAAAGGAAAAAATCCATGGTAGCCTACGGATCCATGCACACTCTCATCGGTGTGATCGCAGTAATACAATCTAAAACCGTACAACGCTCAGCATGCATAATTAGAACAGCTAGCTATCCATCGTCTGAACCCAAGTACCGCTCCATGTCCCACCCCATTCCGCAGTCCCCACCCTCTGCCTCTCTCCCCACCACTCTCACCTTCTCGTCCTCTTCCGATCGCACCGGCTGGCTGACCGTGTCCGTCTTGTGTCGGAAGGCCCGCCGCGCCGGCCGCCGCTCGGCCGTCTCCCCCTCCGGCTCCGGCTTTCGGTCCTGGATGGACACTAGGCCGTCCGACATCCCCACCACAATCTTAGAGTCGTCCGGCTGGTGGGGTAAGAACGAAAGGGTTCGTTGCAGTGATACGGACATGGTAAGTCATGGTATGTGGCCACAGTGCTAAGAAGGGATTCTGATGACGTGCTCAACAAATCTCCCAGATGGAGAAAAAATAGCGAATTAACGCTGTTTAGTAAGATGTGTGTACTTTTTGTGCTGACGATTTGTCAACTTTAGTCTGTCATACGAGTACACACATCAAACTTAACACTCGGTTTCAGTCACACTCAATCAGTCCATAAATAACGCCTATATCAAACGGCTCAACACTTTACCACCAGGACTCACCGCAATACCGACGCTGAGTATGGGCGAGGGGTACTCTAGCGTGTGCACCGGCTGATAGGAGGCCGTGTCGATTATCTTCAGCCGCCTGTCCAGTGACCCGGTGACGAGGCGGCGTCCCTCTGAGCACACCGTCAGGCAGGTGACCGTCTTAGTGTGGTGACAGAGCCGGGTCAGCAGTCGACCGCCGGCCAGCAGGTCCCAGACACGCACCTCGGTACCGCCTGCGGGGCAGCGGGGGCAAGGTGGGACAGGTGAAGGTCAGACCTGAGGTGAGGGCGTTCCAGAAGTCTTTTGACAGCGAGATATGAAGTGCTGTGCACCGGTGAAAGAGCAGACATGAGACTGGCGACGTCGGCAAGGAATTAACGTCTTCAATCCCTGTAGTCGCAAAGTAAACCAATTTCTCCACAAACAGCGTCGTCCTAAGCTGGGCGGACAATACTCAGCCAACCATTCATGGAACCCATTTTCAGTTTTCACACACCCAACGTTCCCTCCTATGCTCACCCCACCCCTCCCTCGACCTGCGCGCCCCCTGTCGCCACAGAGACCCACCTGCCGACACCACCAACCCGCCGGTGGGCAGCACCAGGACGGCCTCCACCGGGCCGCCGTGGTCCATCTTCTCCGTGCAGGTGGCTGTGCGCGCGTCCCACACGCGCACGGCGTGGTCGTAGCCGCCAGAGACTACCACGTCAGCCGAGGCCGGGCTGCACGCGCCCGCGCGAACATAGTCGGTGTGTCCCTCGAGCGCGTGCAGGCGCGCCTCGCCGCCGACATCCCACAGCGCCACGGTGCGGTCGTCGGAGAAACTGGCCACTCGGAACCCGTCGGCAGTGAAGTCGCACCGGTGCACCGGCCTGCATGGAGAGGGGGGAGCGGGAGGATTGTGAGACGAACTGACGCCGGTTCGACGGGCGAGAGTAATTCCTAGACAATACGTCGACCGTAATTATACCATTCTCTTTTTACGGTTATACAAACTTACAGTGATGTTATAAATGACGTGGAACTGAAAAGAACATCTAAAGTCAGCCAATTTGTAAATTTCATGTTGAAATGTTGGTACCTGTCGTGTCCTTTGAACTCCCGCAGTAGATGTTTGTTGTTGACATCGAACACTCGAACGTTCGTGTCTTCACTGCCGGCACAGAGCAGACGGCCATCCTTCCGGAATCGTCCGCCGAACGCCGTCTTGGAAAACTTGCTCAGCCCCTTGGATATCTCATTGTTGATGCATGTGTAAACCTTGACCTGAAAAGGTTTGGTACGTAAATAGCTTATGAACGTTCACATGAGAGCTATGAACAATGAACTTGATGGGAATACAGAGTCACTGACAGTTTATTAGTTGATCAAGCTCAAACATATGTGTTGACTTCAGGCAGTGGCGCAGCCAGGGGGGGGTCAGAGGGTCAGCTGACCCCCCCGAAATTTCTGTCAGGGGCCCGCTCGAGAGAGAGAGAGAGAGAGAGAGAGAGAGAGAGAGAGAGAGAGAGAGAGAGAGAGAGAGAGAGAGAGAGAGAGAGAGAGAGAGAGAGAGAGAGAGAGAGAGAGAGAGAGAGAGAGAGAGAGAGAGAGAGAGAGGGAGGAGAGAGGTCCTAATCTAACCGGACGAGAGAACTGGCCCGGGCCCCTTGGGTGGATGGGGCCCGGGCCCCCTGGGTGCATGGGGCCCGGGCCCCCCGTGGATGGGTCCGGGCCCCCGGGAGAACGGACCCCGGGCCCCGGGTGGACGGGGCCCGGACCCCCGGTTGGATGGGGCCCGGGCCCCCGGGAGAACTGGCTCGGGCCCCTGGGAGAACGGGCCCGGACCCCCTGGGTGGAGGGGCCCGGGCCCCCGTGGATGGGTCCGGCCCCCGGGTGGACGGGGCCCGGACCCCCGGTTGGATGGGGCCCCGGCCCCCGGGAGAAAGGGCCCGGGCCTCCCGGAGAACGGGCCCGGGCCCCCGGGAGAACTGGCTCGGGCCCCTGGGAGAGCGGGCCCGGGCCCCCTGGGTGGATGGGGCCCGGGCCCCGTGGATAGGGCCCGGCCCCCGTGGATGGGTCCGGGGCCCGGGAGAACGGGGCCCGGAACCCCGGTTGGATGGGGCCCGGGCCCCCGTGGATGGGTTCGGGCCCCCGGGAGAACGGGCCCGGGCCCCGGGTGGACGGGGCCCGGACCCCCGGGTGGCCCCCGGGAGAACGGGGCCCGGGCCCCCGGATTGATGGGACCCGGGTCCCCTGGTAGACGGGGCCCGGAGCCCCGGGTGGACGGGACCCGGAGCCCAAGGTGAACGTGGCCCGGGCCCCCATATGGATAGGGCCCGCGCCCCCTTGTGGATAGGGCCCGGGTCCGCGGTTGAATGGGGCCCGCTAGGGTGACCCGCTTGCTCCGCAACGCGAATAAGGTGTATTTTCGATCGGTGGGCGTTTGGTTGGTCTTGTGTCCGTGGGCTATGTATCCATTCCGGTCGATTGCTTTTTGACGGCTATGCATTTTGGTTTGGGAAAAAATATCCATCGAATCGAGGTGCTGGTGTCTGATGAGCATGCGTTCTACTATAGAACATGTCATGTGTAGTTTATAACAAAGGCTGACGAAGGTTATTGAAAAATGAAAGCCATCGATGAGTTACTATGTAGAGGTTTGAAACATTTATATTTTTAAGAATACTGCTGCTCGTCATGCAAAAGCGATGGTTGGATTTTGGACAAAATTGAATGCTCTTTCCAAATATGCCATTTTCATTTGTCAAACGTACCAGGTTATGCAGTAAAACCTGTGTAATTAAGTAAGTCATTAACAATTACCATTTTCTCCAGCGATTTGTTCCACCTTGTTTTTGATCAATTAGCTCTTCACAATTTTTCCATGCGAGGCTGTGCATTTCTTTTGCCAACAGGCGTTGTTAGAACCCTCTCCGTCAAACAGTCACCCGAAAATAGCATTAAGTCCCAAATCTGTCCGAAACGTCAATTTTCCAGCATAAGTGCCCTCACGGGTGCACGTGGCGCGTGCCATCCCTGCACCGCACACCATTCGATAGCCTGTTCGATTCCCTACAGTCTACACGATACTGTGTTCCCCGTGCCGATCGGACCCACGGTTACCGAGATACTGCACGGGGATCGGACCAGTGTCGGGCAAATTTAGCCAATTTCGCACGATTTTGCAAGCCGATTTATACATGTACTGTAAAGTCTATGACGCGAATTTGCACTTTTTAAGCACGCGCCATGTGCTCGCTATCGATCCGATCGAGCTGAGACCCTCAAAGGCACGTTGCCCATCCTTGATCTATAAATCGTGAAAATTTCAGCGCACTAGGCGCAACGGTCTGGCCTGTACACCGCGCTAAGTAACACCATGCCGGGACCTTGATAGCAGACAGAATCTACGTCACCACATCACCACACCACAACAAATCCGGCCCAAGGCAATACATGTCCCATATGAGCGCGTTAATCCTCGTCGGCACAGGCCATTCCAGCCACTTTGCGTCCTTCGACGGCACAAGGGGGAGGTTGGTACGACCCCCGCGTTTGGCCCATGATCGAGCTAGAGCTTCGCGGAAAAAAACGAACGTGTTGCCCGTGACGAGAGTAAGCCGATGATACTCAATTTTAAGGTTCTTGGTCATTGGTTGACCTTCCAGGTCAGGTCCATGACCCAAAAATCGGGAAAATCGGGACCTGTTAGAACGTCGTAAAGTGTGGCTGCTATAGGGTTTTTCGGGGTGCTGATCACGAATAGTTATCATGTTAGTTTTGATCACAGATGATGTCTTTATGCATTTAGGTCAGGTCGGGTCAGGTCAGGTCAGGTCAACCAGTAGGGGTCCTGCCGGGTATTTGTAGTACCTACGTGTCAGCCGCCTCTAGCAGCTTCGTAACATGTTACGAAGGCACCAAAACTACTTCGTGAATATTCAAATGGTTGCTAAATTCGAATTCAGCTCCAAAAACTAGCCTAGAAACATGTATAATTCGAAAAAGTACCGAGGTCATCATAGGTCAATGACCTGACCTGACCTTCAGGTGACCTTGACACCCACTCTAATGCATGGGAGCAGCATCAACTCACATGTTTGAACGCTTGAAACCACGAAAAGACTGCAAACGCGCGGCTAATGCGAGTCGGCATACCGACGCCGAATCGTAATTCTGGCCAAACATGGTCTCAGTAGGTCACATGTGAAAGGTCATTTGAGTCAGGGTCATGCAATTTCTAGGGTAGGTGTAAAACTGATCAACGCGAGGGTACTGAAAGTGTTGTCGCGATCGGCCGCTTTTTACGCGAGTTATTCACGAAAACCCTTAGGGGGTTGCATCATACCCTTCCCCTGTGCCGGCGAGGGTTAAAACTTCTTGTGATCGAATTTACGTAATGAAGAAGGATAAAGGCACAATCTTCTACAGCAGCCAATAGATGACTTAGACAGGCACATGGGACTACTTAAATATTGTCTGATAGAAGCAGGCAACAGCTCCGTTAGCATATATGCTATGCATATTGCGGAAGGGGCACATTTCGGCCTCGAAAGATACGAATTCGTACCTCATAGTAACATATTTCTGTCATGCATGGTCAATTCGCGTAGAAATTGAACACCGGGTGATTACCGAGCTATTGTTCTATCAAAATTTTCCGATTCAAACTCGCTCAGGGTTATCGTATAGGTAAAGGGGGCCCGCTCAGCAGAATGCGTATGAAATATGGAAAGATTCTGAAAAATGGTTGGGGGCCCGCACACTAGGGGGCCCGCTTTGGAGGCGATGACCCCCCGAAACCAAATCCTGGCTGCGCCACTGACTTCAGGGCCACTATGTGCCCATTAGTAAAGCTGATGGACCAAATGTCCTTTTAATGCGGTTTAACAACACTTTTACTTACCCGTGCTGATGCAGTCACGGCAAAATAGTCCCCATCCGACGAGAAATGGACGAAATCAGCACAGCCGAACTCCTGAACTGTGATTGGAAACTGGAAAGAGGCATGGTGTTACCACTGGGTGGCATGACAAAACACAATTACATACCTACAGGGATGCTTGCATATAGTATAGTGTTCCATAGTTTATGATGCAAGATGCAGGATGATGCATAAAATCACTGTGTAAAAAACTTACCCTGAACACTTTTTGAACAATGCCTTGAGTCCTTCACACGAGATCAACATAATTCATGTTATAATGAAATTTCCTTGTAAGCAAACCACAGTGACTCATTCGCTGGTAAAGCTTACCTTGAAGTTTTTCCAATAGATGTTATCAGGAGTTAATCCTGTTCCTTGTCTTGGGTATTGTTTCACCAAGGTTTTCTTAAATTCGCCCATCCTTTAATCAATTGATGGACTGAAACGGAATATATGCAGGTTAGTAGTTAGGTTTAGTAGAGGCCTATGGATACCGCCAGTGAGCTCAGCAGTTCTGCACAGCAAGTAGTATCTAAGCACCATGATAGCACCCACATCAGCAGCACTCCACACAATATCTGCACTGCACCTAAATTGGAGTAAATCTGTACTGCACTCCACACAAATCTGCACTCCACACCAGCTAATTATGATTCTGTACCAACCAGCATCCAGCAGCCAATTTCATTGAGCTTGGTAGCATTTTCCATTAAGGTGAATTTTACACCCAAGAAAACTACACCCTCATGTACTGAGTGGTTTCAATAACCCACGCCCTGCTGGGGGTGTTTGAACACCCCCCCCCCCCTGTGGTTTTTCGCGAATATCTTAAAGACGGCGGCGCTCCGCACCGCCGTTTTTGGCACACCTTATCATACATCAATGCTACACATGTTGTAAAAATTTCAGACCAAAATCATTCAAGGTCAGGTCACCAGGTCACTTGAAGTGACCTCATCTCTAGCCCTTGAAGTGCCCTGTGATAAGAAGTTTCAATGTCTGCCATAGCTACACCGAGCGACCGATCGCTTTGAAAATTTCAGCGATTGTTAAGAGCAATAGCATGTACAAAATTCATATCACAAAGTTTTGATATCGATGACCTAAGGTCAGGTCAATTTTGCGACCCCCCCCCATTAAAAGTCAATAGGAGAAAACTGAAATGCGCCGGTTTTGAGCGAAAGCCATCATAAACACTCCCAAACACTGAATTACAAGTAACTTAGATACACTGAATATGAAAATAGTGTCCGTGACCCCTGTTTATGCCGCTGATGTCATCTCAGGTCATGAATGGCATCTAACAGTTTTTTTTTGCAAATAACTTTTGATAGAGGCATGCACAACTTCTATTTAAAACAACTTAGTCATAAATTGCAACACATGGAAAAACTGGCAATCACTGTTCTACAGCCTTTAACCCTCGCCGGCACAGGGTTGATGCAACCCCCCCTAAGGTTTTTCGCGAATAACTCGCGTAAAAAGCGGCCGATCGCGACGAAACTTTCAGTACCCTCGCATTGATCAATTTTACACCTACCCTGAACATTTCATGACCCTGACCCAAATGACCTTTGACCTGTGACCTCTTTTCCGAGACCATGTTTGGCCGGAATCGCGATTCGGCGTATGTCGGCTCGCATTAGCCGTGCGTTTGCAAGCTTTTCGTGGTTTCAAACGTTCAAACATGTAATTTGATGTTGCTCCCATACATTAGGGTGGGTGTCAAGGTCACCTGAAGGTCAGGTCAGATCATTGACCTTTGGTGACCTCGGGTGACCTCGGTTCAGTTTTTCGAGTTTTACATGTTTCTAGGCTAGTTTTTGGAGCTGAATTCGAATTTAGCAACCATTTGAACATTTACGAAGTAGTTTTGGTGCCTTCGTAACATGTTACGAAGCTGTCAGAGGCGGTTGACACGTATTACGAATACCCGTCACAACCCCTAGGTACCGGTTGACCTGACCTGACCTGACCCGACCTGGTCTAAATGCTTAAAGACATCATCTCTGATCAAAACTAACACGATATTCGTGATCAGCACCCCGGAAAACCACATAGCAGCCACACTTTACGACTTTCTAACAGGTCCCGATTTTCCCGGTTTTCGGGTCATTGACCTGACCTGGAAGGTCACCCGATGACCTAGGACCTTAAAATTGGGTATCATCGGCTTCGTCTCGTGACGGGCAACACGCTCGTTTTTTCCGCGAAGCTCTAGCTCGATCAGGGGCCAAACGCGAGGGGGGTCGTACCCCCCCCCCTTGTGCCGTCGAAGGACGCAAAATGGCCTGTGCCGGCGAGGGTTAACAATACCAAATGCAGATGTAAATGAGATCAAGGCTGCAGATTTCATAGTTTCAGTGACCATGGCCTGCTGATGTCTTTTGTCTGCCCGATCCCGTCGACCGTGCCAACAACCGTCTGTAGACAGTAGTCACTGGAAGACAGTCACACACACACGCCAGCCCCCCCCCTCTACGAAAAGTGCGTGGCTACAGCCTGCAGCCATCAGTAAGCCTTGAAAATTTTCGGCGCATGAAGCATGGCTTGGTAAAATAATTTCAGCGCATAAGCCCTTGCACCGAAATTTTGGCGCATCACCTCCGCCGAGAACTTCAGCGTAGTGGAGGCATTTTTCCAGTCAGATGAGGTACCCTCCTCAAACTATTATAACTAATTCAATAGTGATAGGCGAATTGTTAATGAATGTGAACAATATTACTAATGCCACACTCTGATTCCCAACATCCATATCCAGATCCTCTGTCAAAATGAACTTCAACACTGACACCACAGAAACAGAAGCTTGTTTCAAGGATGAAACGAAATAAAGGGAATTATTATTATTAAAAGCCCTAATAACTTTTTATGCAACGCTACCAGCGCACATAAACACCAAGGCATATAAAAACACTGTAAATACCGAAACTTTGACCTCAATCTGAATCCAAGGCCATCTATATCATATAGTCTGAATCGACACGCGGGACGCCGGTGAAAACAGGGCGCCGGAGGGCATATTAGTCACGTGACATTTGGAACTTCTCCCGCTCAATGGGCCTTTCATGTGCCAAACGTCACGTGTAAATTTAACGAACCTTGATCAAATCGCCCCAGGCGCCCTGTTTTCACCGTCGTCCGACACGCGACACACGTGAGGAACCAACAAGCCCTTGTGCCTTGAACTGTTCAACAAGTTAGCTTTACGGAAGCAAAACTTTCGGCTTTCACTGTTGCCTAGCAACCACAGTAAAAAGCCACTAGTTTCTAGGCAACTGCTCTTCACGCGTTTGTCGATTCAATTTTAGAACAGATGGTATCATTACCTTTTTTGTAGCTTGTGCGCAGGAGCTGTAGCGCTATGATTTTATTTGGAGTTCTTGATGTTTCATATCTGGCGCAGCAACTTCAAAATCAGCGCTTGAATTTAAAGCATACGAAAAGCGCTCTTATGGGTATTGTTTATCTGTTGAAACGAGCAGAAAGATTGAAACCTTACGGGACATTTTCCCATACAAGCTGCTCACTCGTCCGTGTACATAGCGTCCGCGAATGCTTTGCTTTTTCATTTCAATTTAGATTTCAATCTGCAATTTGCGTGGGTGTGTTTGGATGGTCTTCTTATTCTGTGGGTTGGATATCACATTATTTATAAAAAAACTTATGATAACTGATAAGGATGAATGATGTTTGTGCTTCTTGTCTTGGGGTTGATAAATTGAAATTGAATAGCATGACAGGCTCAGAGTCAGACCGCCATCCATCACTCAAAAATCTCAGGACAATCAAATCCTCTTCCTCACCTTGAACTCCCTGTTCTAGGCAGGACGACTACCTTCATCTGATCTGGGTTGGGTAGTTCATCAGGAGCTGCTGCAGGCCCATTGTGGTGGGGTGACCCAGGGGGGTACGCTCCGGCTGTTTAGCATTACGAAAAATGGTGACAGACGTTTGTGGAGGATTGTCGACGAACTCTTGTTCCGCGAGCAGTACTTACACGCTAGCGGAAAATTCACCAATCAGCGCTCGGCAGTACTCGACGCTGATTGGTCCGACGCTCGTGAGGAAATTGCGGGGGACCGCAGTTATTCTCTATGGACCCGAATAGGCTTTTGGATTTCGGAGGAGTTTCTTTAAAATTATATGCTGTTTGGAGCTGTTTTCGAGTTGAAATATATTTCTTATGACTGTTAGCTATATAATGACACCATAAAATCATGATTTTAATAAATATTACCATTTACCGATGTAATATCGGCCGAAAAGACATGCTGTCATGGCACGGACTGCCCTGCGGCTGATGTGGGGCCCCTAGTGCCAGCGTATGGTAATAATGGGTTGACGAAGGGTTATTGGAGAAACTTAGAGCCCCTTTAGCATTCAGTATAGGGTCATCAGAGGCCGGGAATGTCCATCAGGGGTCTGAGTAGGCCTGTCATAGGGGCATACATGACACATCATGGCCCATGGGTCAATGTAGATCCATTAGGGGCCGTTGAAGGGCCATCATTGTTCAGCGTGGGCTCGCAATTACCTCTGATGGGCATATGCCGTGCCCCGATGGACTAACGCTGGCCCCTGATGAACCATCACCAGCCCCTGATAGGTCTACAAAGCCCTCTGCTGGGTCCAAATTGGTCACTGATATGCCCAAATGGGCCACTGAGAAACCCGTACAACATCCCCTGACTGCACCTGCTGGACCAATGCCGTCCCCTCATGGGCCCACCACAGCTCTTGAATGACCTTTTCAAGTCCCCTGAAGTGCCTTTATTGGCCTAAATGGCCCCTGATTGACTGATGTGGTCCCTATTGGTCCTATATGGCCCCCATGAGCCCTCAACGTCGGCCTAGACAGCCTTACATTATATGCCACTGGGCCCTGTTGGGTCAGCACCGGCCCCCGATAGGCTTGCACACTGGACCCACCGGGCCTATACCGACCCATGAAGGGTCTATGTCGAACCCTCACGGACCTCCGATGACCACACGCCGACATGTGTGGCCCCATCAGCAGTGGTCCGTCTATCCCATGTACTTACGGTCTTTTTGGCCGATGTGACACCGGTAGTATATAGAATGTCATGATTAAATGTCGTTATTACACAGTCAAAAGTCACAGAAAGAATATCCAAGCTCAAAAATGGCCTCAAACCCAACAAAACTGGTATAAATCCCCTTCAAAAGCCGTAAGTCTATTAAACGCCATAGGGGAATAGCTACAGTCCCCCGCAATTTCGTCACGAGCATCGGGCCAATCAGCGTCGAGTATTGCCGAACGCCGATTGGTCGATTTCCGCTAGCCTGTAAATGCTGCTTGCGGATATAGTTTTGAACAAGTGAGGGTCGCGGCTACTAATTATCGCTTGTCACCACTTTTTCGTCGGGAACGTTCTACCTGGTTTATATAGCCTTGGGGTGACCAAACCAACGACTATTGTTGGGGCTGATCGGCCAGTCCCAGTCCATTGCAATGGGCTCAACAGTCCCAACAGTCAACCTATGCCATGCCAGGGCGACTGTCCAGACCAATGTCTCCCCTACTTCCTTTCATTCTTCTGGTGCAGAAAGTCTTGTTAGACTGAAAGCCAAAAGGGCCTAATCCTTCTAAACAAAGAAACAAAATACCAAACCAGTTAAGAATTAGGACCCTTGTCTTCCTGAGTGCAGGACCATGGACCATGTCCTTGAGAGTTAGCTTGAGACTGAGACTTGAGCTTATTGTTATGGGTGCCAAAAATATAATAAATATTCCTAAAATGCCCATTTATTCACTACAGGGTGTTTCACAATAAACGTTACTTTTGTTTAGCTTTTAAAATGACTTCAACTATTCGTATGCCCATAAATTATGTAACGGAAGTTGGCACAGATTCAGCACAGATTCAGCACAGCACAGATTCGGTAGGGGGAAAAAAGGCCCCGGTAGAGGGAAACCTTTATAACCCGTTTTCCCCTAGAAATGACATCACAAAGAGGTAAAAATGGGTATCAATCGAAAGCTCTCGTTTACCCAGACACAGTCCTGCAGGAAAATTCCACTTTTTCCCCATAGGAAAGTTTTTACGGGAAAATCAAAATTTCGGGTCAATGGGGGGTCCCCCCCGATTTCGTTCAAAATCGGCACACAGGTGCCCCACCACCAGCCGAGAAACTTTCCCCAAAACGGTCCCCGTTGCATTGACGTTTAAGGCCCTTAAAGCCCCGTAAACTCGTAAAAAATCCGTAAATTCGCCCTTGTACGGCCAAAAACGGGGCGCTAGGGTAAAAATGGGTATCAATCGAAAGCTCTCGTTTACCCGGACACAGTCCTGCAGGAAAATTCCACTTTTTCCCCATAGGAAAGTTTTTACGGGAAAATCAAAATTTCGGGTCAATGGGGGGTCCCCCCCGATTTCGTTCAAAATCGGCACACAGGTGCCCCACCACCAGCCGAGAAACTTTCCCCAAAACGGTCCCCGTTGCATTGACGTTTAAGGCCCGTAAAGCCCCCTAGACTCGTAAAATATCCGTAAAATCGCCTTTGTACGGACAAAAAAGTGGTGCTATGGTAAAAATGGGTATCAATCGAAAGCTCTCGTTTACCCAGATACAGTCCTGCAGGAAAATTCCACTTTTTCCCCATAGGAAAGTTTTTACGGGAAAATCAAAATTTCGGGTCAATGGGGGGTCCCCCCCGATTTCGTTCAAAATCGGCACACAGGTGCCCCACCACCAGCCGAGAAACTTTCCCCAAAACGGTCCCCGTTGCATTGACGTTTAAGGCCCTTAAAGCCCCGTAAACTCGTAAAAAATCCGTAAATTCGCCCTTGTACGGCCAAAAACGGGGCGCTAGGGTAAAAATGGGTATCAATCGAAAGCTCTCGTTTACCCGGACACAGTCCTGCAGGAAAATTCCACTTTTTCCCCATAGGAAAGTTTTTACGGGAAAATCAAAATTTCGGGTCAATGGGGGGGTCCCCCCCGATTTCGTTCAAAATCGGCACACAGGTGCCCCACCACCAGCCGAGAAACTTTCCCCAAAACGGTCCCCGTTGCATTGACGTTTAAGGCCCTTAAAGCCCCGTAAACTCGTAAAAAATCCGTAAATTCGCCCTTGTACGGCCAAAAAAAGTGGTGCTATGGTAAAAATGGGTATCAATCGAAAGCTCTCGTTTACCCAGACACAGTCCTGCAGGAAAATTCTACTTTTTCCCCATAGGAAAGTTTTCACGGAAAAATCAAAATTTTGGGTCAATGGGGGGTCCCCCCCGATTTCGTTCAAAATCGGCACACAGGTGCCCCACCACCAGCCGAGAAACTTTCCCCAAAACGGTCCCCGTTGCATTGACGTTTAAGGCCCGTAAAGCCCCCTAGACTCGTAAAATATCCGTAAAATCGCCTTTGTACGGACAAAAAAGTGGTGCTATGGTAAAAATGGGTATCAATCGAAAGCTCTCGTTTACCCAGATACAGTCCTGCAGGAAAATTCCACTTTTTCCCCATAGGAAAGTTTTTACGGGAAAATCAAAACTTTGGGTCAATGGGGGGTCCCCCCCGATTTCGTTCAAAATCGGCACACAGGTGCCCCACCACCAGCCGAGAAACTTTCCCCAAAACGGTCCCCGTTGCATTGACGTTTAAGGCCCTTAAAGCCCCGTAAACTCGTAAAAAATCCGTAAATTCGCCCTTGTACGGCCAAAAACGGGGCGCTAGGGTAAAAATGGGTATCAATCGAAAGCTCTCGTTTACCCAGACACAGTCCTGCAGGAAAAGTTCACTTTTTCCCCATAGGAAAGTTTTTACGGGAAAATCAAAATTTCGGGTCAATGGGGGGTCCCCCCGATTTCGTTCAAAATCGGCACACAGGTGCCCCACCACCAGCCGAGAAACTTTCCCCAAAACGGTCCCCGTTGCATTGATGTTTAAGGCCCGTAAAGCCCCCTAAACTCGTAAAATATCCGTAAAATCGCCTTTGTATGGACAAAAAAGTGGTGCTATGGTAAAAATGGGTATCAATCGAAAGCTCTCGTTTACCCAGATACAGTCCTGCAGGAAAATTCCACTTTTTCCCCATAGGAAAGTTTTTACGGGAAAATCAAAATTTTGGGTCAATGGGGGGGGTCCCCCCCGATTTCGTTCAAAATCGGCACACAGGTGCCCCACCACCAGCCGAGAAACTTTCCCCAAAACGGTCCCCGTTGCATTGACGTTTAAGGCCCTTAAAGCCCCGTAAACTCGTAAAAAATCCGTAAATTCGCCCTTGTACGGCCAAAAAAGTGGTGCTATGGTAAAAATGGGTATCAATCGAAAGCTCTCGTTTACCCAGACACAGTCCTGCAGGAAAATTCCACTTTTTCCCCATAGGAAAGTTTTTACGGAAAAATCAAAATTTTGGGTCAATGGGGGGTCCCCCCCGATTTCGTTCAAAATCGGCACACAGGTGCCCCACCACCAGCCGAGAAACTTTCCCCAAAACGGTCCCCGTTGCATTGACGTTTAAGGCCCTTAAAGCCCCGTAAACTCGTAAAAAATCCGTAAATTCGCCCTTGTACGGCCAAAAACGGGGCGCTAGGGTAAAAATGGGTATCAATCGAAAGCTCTCGTTTACCCGGACACAGTCCTGCAGGAAAATTCCACTTTTTCCCCATAGGAAAGTTTTTACGGGAAAATCAAAATTTCGGGTCAATGGGGGGTCCCCCCCGATTTCGTTCAAAATCGGCACACAGGTGCCCCACCACCAGCCGAGAAACTTTCCCCAAAACGGTCCCCGTTGCATTGACGTTTAAGGCCCGTAAAGCCCCCTAGACTCGTAAAATATCCGTAAAATCGCCTTTGTACGGACAAAAAAGTGGTGCTATGGTAAAAATGGGTATCAATCGAAAGCTCTCGTTTACCCAGATACAGTCCTGCAGGAAAATTCTACTTTTTCCCCATAGGAAAGTTTTTACGGGAAAATCAAAATTTCGGGTCAATGGGGGGTCCCCCCCGATTTCGTTCAAAATCGGCACACAGGTGCCCCACCACCAGCCGAGAAACTTTCCCCAAAACGGTCCCCGTTGCATTGACGTTTAAGGCCCTTAAAGCCCCGTAAACTCGTAAAAAATCCGTAAATTCGCCCTTGTACGGCCAAAAACGGGGCGCTAGGGTAAAAATGGGTATCAATCGAAAGCTCTCGTTTACCCGGACACAGTCCTGCAGGAAAATTCTACTTTTTCCCCATAGGAAAGTTTTTGCGGGAAAATCAAAATTTCGGGTCAATGGGGGGGTCCCCCCCGATTTCGTTCAAAATCGGCACACAGGTGCCCCACCACCAGCCGAGAAACTTTCCCCAAAACGGTCCCCGTTGCATTGACGTTTAAGGCCCGTAAAGCCCCCTAGACTCGTAAAATATCCGTAAAATCGCCTTTGTACGGACAAAAAAGTGGTGCTATGGTAAAAATGGGTATCAATCGAAAGCTCTCGTTTACCCAGATACAGTCCTGCAGGAAAATTCCACTTTTTCCCCATAGGAAAGTTTTTACGGGAAAATCAAAATTTTGGGTCAATGGGGGTCCCCCCCCGATTTCGTTCAAAATCGGGGGGACCCCCCATTGACCCGAAATTTTGATTTTCCCGTAAAAACTTTCCTATGGGGAAAAAGTGGAATTTTCCTGCAGGACTGTGTCTGGGTAAACGAGAGCTTTCGATTGATACCCATTTTTACCCTAGCGCCCCGTTTTTGGCCGTACAAGGGCGAATTTACGGATTTTTTACGAGTTTACGGGGCTTTAAGGGCCTTAAACGTCAATGCAACGGGGACCGTTTTGGGGAAAGTTTCTCGGCTGGTGGTGGGGCACCTGTGTGCCGATTTTGAACGAAATCGGGGGGGACCCCCCATTGACCCGAAATTTTGATTTTCCCGTAAAAACTTTCCTATGGGGAAAAAGTGGACTTTTCCTGCAGGACTGTGTCTGGGTAAACGAGAGCTTTCGATTAATACCCATTTTTACCCTAGCGCCCCGTTTTTGGCCGTACAAGGGCGAATTTACGGATTTTTTACGAGTTTACGGGGCTTTAAGGGCCTTAAACGTCAATGCAACGGGGACCGTTTTGGGGAAAGTTTCTCGGCTGGTGGTGGGGCACCTGTGTGCCGATTTTGAACGAAATCGGGGGGGACCCCCCATTGAACCAAAATTTTGATTTTCCCGTAAAAACTTTCCTATGAGGAAAAAGTGAAATTTTCCTGCAGGACTGTATCTGGGTAAACGAGAGCTTTCGATTGATACCCATTTTTACCATAGCACCACTTTTTTGTCCGTACAAAGGCGATTTTACGGATATTTTACGAGTCTAGGGGGCTTTACGGGCCTTAAACGTCAATGCAACGGGGACCGTTTTGGGGAAAGTTTCTCGGCTGGTGGTGGGGCACCTGTGTGCCGATTTTGAACGAAATCGGGGGGGACCCCCCATTGACCCAAAATTTTGATTTTTCCGTAAAAACTTTCCTATGGGGAAAAAGTGGAATTTTCCTGCAGGACTGTGTCTGGGTAAACGAGAGCTTTCGATTGATACCCATTTTTACCCTAGCGCCCCGTTTTTGGCCGTACAAGGGCGAATTTACGGATTTTTTACGAGTTTACGGGGCTTTAAGGGCCTTAAACGTCAATGCAACGGGGACCGTTTTGGGGAAAGTTTCTCGGCTGGTGGTGGGGCACCTGTGTGCCGATTTTGAACGAAATCGGGGGGGACCCCCCATTGACCCGAAATTTTGATTTTCCCGTAAAAACTTTCCTATGGGGAAAAAGTGGAATTTTCCTGCAGGACTGTGTCTGGGTAAACGAGAGCTTTCGATTGATACCCATTTTTACCTCTTTGTGACGTCATTTCTAGGGGAAAACGGGTCATAAAGGTTTCCCTCTACCGGGGCCTTTTTTCCCCCTACCGAATCTGTGCTGTGCTGAATCTGTGCTGAATCTGTGCCAACTTCCGTTACATCCATAAATTCTCGATTCATTTTGTTGCAAATTCTTCCGTTTTTTTATCCTTATAAAAACTATGACGAATCATCAACTGCATTCTTTATGTACGTGCAATGTCGACACCATCAAAACAGGTCCATTCGCTGTTAAAGGGACCCTCCCACCTTCAAAAAAGTTAATGAATTGGCATGAAAGTGATGTCGCTCGGTTCAGAAAGAGCAAAAACGAATATCTACCAAATTTCATCGAAAAATATTCACCGGTTTTCAAGATATTAGACTTTTACTTTTGTTTACTTTTTGGGATCTCCGCTGTTCCTAGCGACTTTATTTGAAAGTGCGGCATTTGTTGCGCGCAAAGCAGCATATACCACCGCGTGCTACAAAACGTTTTAGTCAAACATTTAACGGACGTCCGAAAGCCTGATGACGTCATCAGATTCCCGTAATGGTTAAGAGATAGGGACCACGCTGGTCCCACCCTGCAAGTAAAGGGAAGAAATTTCTTGAACACCATAAAGCTGCGGGGGTTGCGACCAGGATAAATAGTGGTTTCTGAGCCTGGCCGCAAACTTGGCTATCTCAACTCAAAACTAATGTTAAGGTGGGAGGGTCCCTTTAAGCTTCAGGGTCCTTCACAATGAATGTTGCTTTTCAAACGACGATGTTTCAGTGACATGTATTACATATGGCTCATGAGTATTACCACATGAGACAGCAGAACAGTGGGACTGATGAACATTGGTACAACTTTCAGTTCAGCACCCTTCACGGGTTCTCCACTATGCCACCCTTCCGTGTGACTTTTTCAACCAGATTTTCTGGGATCGCCGTCCGGCCAGGAGGCGGGGTTGGTCTCGTGTTTCCAGTCTTCTGGAACCTTTCTACCACCCGTTTGAAAGACATTTTTGACGGAATATCCTTTCTCCTTTTAAAATGGCTACCGAAACTCCGTCGCACTGCAGTCAGACTCCGCAAAGCGCCGTAATGCATGACCACGCATACCGCCTCATCATCTGTACACGGCGAATTGACCCGTTTTGGCGGTGTTGGCATTGCACGTCCATACAGATGGAACCGTCAACGGTTTGTAAAAAAAAATATAAGGACTAAAAACCGCAACAAATTTGCAGCAAAATGCATATAAAATTTACACGCCTACGAACAAGTAAGATCTTCATTTAAGCTATTCAAAAGTAACACTTATTGTGAAACACCCTGTAGTAAAAATCATATCAGAATTATCCCCATTCCCCATTCCTGAATCCCCATCATCATGGATTTGTTTCATTGGGAATTTTTTTTTGCTCTTACTTGAGTTACTGTTAAGTAACATTTATTTCTTACTGCTATAGATGATCTCTTATGGCATTTATATTTCTTCCTTATTTTCCAGGTTATAAACTACAATTGGTGACGAGATAATGGGCACTGACACATCAGCAGAGGTGAGTACAACTGGTGGTGTGAAAGGTATTGTTGGTGAAGAGGATGAGAGGGAAGCTTTGAACCAGTCTTGGTCTGGCACACTTGCCAAGTGGATACCATTTTTCACTCTTTTTTTTTTTTTGGTGGCTGCTTAAGTAAGCATTATTTTTATTTCAGTTAGTCTAAACATGACCATGTTACATTACTTTGGGGCTTTACACAACTTGCATCGACAATGTGCTGTGACCTGTGACTGATTTTTTTAGACGTTAAAAAAAAACTGGTCAGTCAGTGGGCAGTGACCAGGGTCCATTGGCTGGGATGTATATCTAGCTGGTGCAACTCTGGAGCACAGTGGTCAGCAACCATACCTATCTTGTAATCTGACTGCCCCTGCTCTGCGCCAAGGGCCCTCAGCCTAGTGGTCATTGATCATATTCTGTTGATTGAGGGGCCCCTGGCTGGTCTGTACTCTACATAGTCTTGCGTTCAGTGCCCACACCCCAGTGATTAATCCAGCCCTGCCGCTATTCCCCAGACCTCTGTGATCAGCGACCGTATTCTGGTGATCGAGCCCGGCTCGTATTTCCTGCGAATCGGCCGCGCCACGGACGTGAACCCGGCGGTGCTGCCGCACGTGATCGCGCGGCGCCGCAAACCCGGCGGGCTGGCGTACCAGGACCCGGTGCTGCCACCTGACGTCAAACTGGTGAGACTCGCAGTAGAGAGCGGAGGTGAAGGCTGAAGCTGGTAGAAGTGATTGTAGGAAGCGTACTGCGTCGGACAGATAGGCTAAAGGTGGCCAGTTGCAAAACCTTTCGTTCTATCCATATGTCTACTATGGCATTCCTTTTCACCATTGACATTCCTATCACACCAGTTGCCCACCAGCCCCGTTTGATCAGGCAGTGTGGCGATGCGGCTCGCCGTCCGTCTCTAACCTTTCTTCGCCTCTCTTTGTGTCCCTAGACTCGCCAGCAGACGATGGAGCTGGAGGAGACGCGACTGAGCGTGTCACATACCCTGCAGTCGTGCCTTAAGTCAGATGGATCGGCCAGGTGAGTCACCTGCGGTAACGAGAGGAGAGACAGACTTGACTTGTGAGGGCAACACTCGCACCCTACTGTTGTCTTTCGTGTTTAATGCTCCAGAGTCCGGTGTTCAGAGGGTGTGCGTTTTTTATCAGGATCGGAACTCTATTATCTACCTGGGGGATATCGGGTGCTAACTATTACGCATCTTGTCATCTTCAGCAGTAAGTCTCCTCTATTTTACAGCTGACTCATACTGGGTTTTTGCTCCACCAGGTTCGCAGCTCCTCCCCAAATGGTTGCCAGCTTCAACAAGAACTCACAGCCGGTGAAAACTGAGGACCGTGTGCCTGAGTGGACCCCCGGCGGCGCGGACTACGTCGTCGGCGATCAGGTAGGGGGGTGGTTGACTGTCCTTGGGTCGACGTAATATCTGTTGGCTGCGCACTGCGCAGACTGATATGTGCCAACTAGTAAGACTATGCCGTCTACGTTAGGTATGATATTCAGCAATATTTTTGCTTACGGAATGCGACTTCATATTCAATGACGATTTTTCTCTCTCAGACGATGCCTAGGATTCAATTATTTAGCTAAGTTTACCATTTTATTTGCTTTTTTTGTGTCAACGACCTAATATGTCAATGACCTTTCTGCCCTCTCGCTCTGCCGTCAGGCTCTAACGCTGGACCCGAGCGGTCCGTACAACATTCACTTTCCGGTGCGGCGGGGCCGACTGAACGTGCACCCTGGCCCGGGCGGCTCCCTGACGGCCGTGATGGCCGACCTGTATACCATCTGGCTGCACTGCATCGAGCGGCTGCTGGGCATCCAACGCTCCGCGCTCGAGGTGGGATGACAGTCAGCGGGCGGGCGCGTCTGGTAAATCGGGGTAGATGGATGTTGATTGTAATGCTCTCTTACGAATGTGGTTGTTCACGATAAGTGCCGTCAGTGATGGCGGCTGTTTTGTCGTGCTTGCAAGAATAAATGGCCATAATGGTCGTAGATTTAGTAACACTTAAAAAGATTGTTGAAGTATTTCTTGTCTGTCGAAGCTGACGAGACCCAAGAAGCTGAGTAATATGCTGCCTCGCTGGCTAATATGCTGCCATTTTGTATCACCAACGCCTGCCATTTCGACAGACGTACCGGGCCGTGCTGATTATACCATGCGTGTACAACCGTGCCGCGGTAAAGGCCATGGTGGAGCTGCTGGTCAACGGGCTCGGATTCGCCTCCTTCTTCCTGATTCAGGTGAGTTGCACGGGCGAGGTGGGAAATGATTGACGTCGGCATGGCTGAATGAATGAATGGATGAATGAATGAATGAATGAATGAATGAATGAATGAATGAATGAATGAATGAATGAATGAATGAATGAATGAATGTGAGAATGTATTCATGTTCATCGGATAACATGAACATTGAACATGAACATGAATATGAACGTGAACATGTGTATTTACCTTGAATTCAATGGCACACCTCGGTATTTTAAAACTGATGTAATTCAAAGCCATATCATTTTTGGCCAGTCGCCATTAAGTCTCCCATCTCCATGATCCTTGACCAATGACCGAACCGATCACGGGGGCGGGGTGTGGTGTCCAACGGCCGGCCGGCCGGTGGTGACACCCGATACATTGTTTATGGAGCACGTGATGGCTCGAGCCAGGGTTGGAGTGACGTGCGGGGGCGATATCCGACAGCAGTGGCATGCGTGCCGCGCGAAACTCAGCACGGCCGATGTAAATATTTACTTAATGGATGTGTTAGTGGAATCATCAGATCATAGCTCAATGAAGGGGAGGGGCACCGCTTTCACTCTCTGATCATTGATCACTTTTGACTTTTGAGTCATGGTATGCCTCGGCTTTACAAAAAAAGTTAAAATCGTTATTTTTCGCTTGAATTCTTAGCCAAGGAAAAGTATGCCATTCTCTAAAACGTGATTATAATGAATATTGAATTGTTTTGTCGTGCTCTTGGAGTGTAGTTCACGATGCCATTTCCATTCATTTTTCTTTGTTTTCCTGTCCTCGCTCATTTTCAACGCAGAACCAAGTTTGTGGCATATTTTTATTTTGTCATACAATGGGCACACATCCGTGGAGTGCAATGCGCACACGGGAAAGTACAATATATTTTCGCGTTTCGATCATACACTCAAGCATACACCTTTATCTGTTCGTGGTGCAATTCTCATCGTTTGCATTGCACAGTGGGGCAGTGCTCGAGCTATCCACTCATTCGGCTTTCGGCGTAAAAGTATGACACGAGCATGAAGAACAATAAACACTGCACCGACGTCTAGCATTGAAGTGATGTCAGCAATACAAGACTGATTGATGTCGCTTTACCAACAATTGATCACAAATGTGTGTTTTGGTGGCTTTCAAAATGTCTCGTATTTTCATCGAGGATATCCTATAGTTCAACTTATTCTCTAAGGACCCGCATTACCGAACCCAGGGAAGGTTCCATGGATGCGTACAGCATAACTAAAGCTAGGCTTACTCACAGTCCCAGCAGCAGCAGTGCGTAAGCTAAAAATGTCGAACACTCACACTCGGATCACTAACACGATGCCCATCTGGTCATCTAACGAATCGCCGATCGCCGGCATTTTACCACTGCAAAGCTGACATTTGATACTTGATAGCCTTTGTTTGTAGCGTCTCAAAGCTACTGGGATACATGTGGCGGACGATATACCATGTGGCATCGAGCACAAGTTTGTGACTGTCAATCCAGCTCCAGCGTTACAGCCTCGCATACCTATCACAAGTGTTGAGACCCTGTCATCGTATTTCTATGCCGCCCTGCGGTAATAGTCTCGCCGGATTTGATGGCCCTGTCAGACCCTCAGCCTCTTCCTCAGCCGCCGCTCAGTCCTGGGCCCAGAGTCCGACCCCAGCGGCCCCTCAGTCCTGGACCCCGGGTACGACCCCAGCCGCCGCTCAGTCCTGGGCCCAGAGTCCGACCCCAGCAGCCCCTCAGTCCTGGACCCCGGGTACGACCCCAGCCGCCGCTCAGTCCTGGGCCCAGAGTCCGACCCCAGCGGCCCCTCAGTCCTGGACCCCGGGTACGACCCCAGCCGCCGCTCAGCTGAGCTGCTCGGGCCGCCCCGCGTCCCTCCTCCGTCGGCGACCGAACAGCCGCCTCCACCAGGGCCGCCGGTCGGGCCGGCCGGCGCAGTGGAAGTCGGCCGGCCGGCCCGCCACGCCCAGCGGCCCGTGCGACAGCTGGCAGGAGGCCTCCACGAAGTGGCCGCAGTCGGCCGGGTTACCCCAGCGGCCGGCGTACTGCAGCCAGTGGGGCGGCGTGCGGCCCAGCGACACCAGGCGGCGCCACGTGTGCCAGGCGGCGCCACCGTCGGCCGTGACGTCCACTAGCTGCGCCACCTTGTTGTACTGGTGCTCGGCTGCGGTGGAGAGAATAAGGGCTCGTTAGGGAGACGAACGAAACTTACCGACCTTTAGACTGAGGAAGGCAATCAAATATGAGCATGGCATGTTCCCAGAGTTAAGATTAGCTGATCGTCTGGTGATCAACTCTTCTAAGTGCGATGGTGGGAGAACTAATTCACAGATCATATTACCATATTTCCCCTGTCCTCCGAATGCAATGCCTCTCCCATTGCTACGCCTCCCTCTGATCACTCACCGGGTGTGGGCCAGAGACCGTGTGAGCCACGCGCCACATAGAGGACCGGGTGGGTTCCATTCAGCTCCAGCTGTCGGAAAGGCAAAGGTGAGGGACACGTCAGTTCAGCGCAAATGGCGTGCGGAACGGTCACATTTGGTCACGGGACACGAGAGGTATGACATATATGAAAGGTCATTAGTGTCTACACTGGTGTCTGTGACATTTTTTATATGGTCACACTGTTGACGGTTTGGTCTTAGAGCCTTGCATTTGAACTACCATAGCCTCGCTAAAAGCGCCTCCCGGGGCGCAGAGGGACACTCACGTTGGGCGGGTACTGCGGGCTGAAGAGGAAGCTGTTGGACACGTGGGAGGTAAAGTTGAACGTGTCGCTCTCCTGGTGGTAGGTGTAGTAGGCGCCGAACTCGTGGGAGGAGACAAACACCTCCTGCAGCTCACCCTCCTGGGGGGGGGGGATGCGCGGGGTAGCGGTCAGATAGGGAGATATGGGGAGAGAATTGACGCGCAGGGCTGGGCCAGAGAGATGGGAAGTCGGCAACCAGCTACAGCTGGCTGCGGGAAAATGAGGATGTTATCTCTGATATTATTTCCAATGCATGGATAAGAGAGGACAAGTAGCTGATCGACTGAACCGAAAGCTGAAAACTGATATGTTGACTTTGGAGCAGAATGTTGACTTCGTTAAGAATTGGCTGTGCACTCTGAGGGTTCCCGCGTTTCACCTGAACTCTGATGCTGACGTGCTCCCAGTCGCCGACATGGTTTCCGCGCATCTGTCTTAGGGCGTACTTGCCCTCGTTGAACGGGTGGAAGGTCCAGTAGGTGGCGTGGAACGAGGGCGGCGCCCGGCCGGCCGGCTCCAGTCGGTTGGTGCTCAGCGCGTCACACCGCGTCACCGTGACGTAGACGGGCGCGTTCTCCGGCGCAGTGCCGGCCAGGAACGGCTGGTGGGTGACCGACGGAGAGCCCACACCTGCGGCAGGGCAGGGGAGGGGTTATATACCGGCCAGGAACGGCTGGTGGGTCACCGACGGAGAGCCCACACCTGCGGGAGGGCAGTTGGGTTATATACCGGGCAGGAACGGCTGGTGGGTCACCGACGGAGAGCCCACACCTGCGGGAGGGCAAACGGGAGGGATTATATACCGGCCAGGAACGGCTGGTGGGTCACCGACGGAGAGCCCACACCTGCGGGAGGACAGGGGAGGGGTTTATACCGGCCAGGAACGGCTGGTGGGTCACTGACGGGGAGCCCACACCTGCGGGAGGGCAGGGGAGGGGTTCTATGAGGCTAAAGAGACAGGAGTGTGATGAAGAAGATACAAAGAATGAAGGATGAGTTACGGCCGCGGTTAAGTGAATGCTGTCAAGAGTATGAAATGAAAGGTATTCTCTTTTTGGGAGCACCTGTGTGTGCTACTTATGAAGTTGAACTGGGTCACCCGGCGTTCCCTGTGGTATAAGACACGGGTATCTGCTTACATGAACCCCATTTGATCAGCAATTGAGCTCACTGCACACTGCACGGGTATCACGTTCCACCGCAATGTTGTAGTAACCCTGACCCGGGTCCGCTGGTCCCGGGGTTACAGCAGGGTCACGCACCCGGGCAGCCATTGTTCAACACTGATGTGTCGTGAACAAGGTCACTGGAAGCTCGATCGAGCGTACCCCATACACGTGTGGAGCACGCTGGCCGCATCAATCAGTTCATTGTCGGTTCATTGTCGCCGGACGCGCCGCACTACACTTCGTGACGTCATAGAGGGTGGTGCTGACGTCACTACCGGACATGTGCGTTTGTGTGGTGTTGTGAGAGTTCTCGTTTTGGGTGCTGGGACACGTGTCGGTGGTTACTGGTTAGGTGACCTCGGACAGTATATACAGAGGAACGATGTGCGAGTGGTAGGGAGTGGCGTAGGCTTGTGGACAGTCTCAGTAATGACCGACATCTGATGTTCGGACTTATTGTGTGCTGTCTGTCAGGACCTGTCATCGACAACCACTGACATTGACATGACCACTGACCACTGAGATTGACGTAGCATCGACTCGCTAGAAGGCTGGTATAGTCATTGAAATATTCCATTTTTATGTCCTTCACTCGTATCGGCTCGCTTCATTTCTCTCTGACCATAACAGGTTCAGTGGGAAACCCCTCGTGACTCGTAGTCGTGACTATCCGGAGGGCTGGTAGGAACTCGGCCGTTACTAATGCACCTCTAATCTCGACTACATAAACCAGTTTATGATCACCCTCTTTATGCCCATGAACTGCTCATGCCTCACGGGATTCCCAGAGCCACTGGAAGTAGCGACCGTCTGCAGTGCTGACAGCAGTAAAGCTTGGCTTCTACATATGAGTTCTCTCCATGGTTCGGTTTGGTTTGCTTTGACAATCGAGGTGAGCTAATTTGATTTTTCAGCTCACGAGTTCCGAACAGAGTTAATATGGTCCGGACGACGCTCCTTTCCCTTCGCGTCCCTCTCCCCGGCACTCACCTGTTGGTAGCTCGGCGATGATGTAGTGGTCCGCCGTGTCCGGCCCCACGGGCAGCGTGCCGTTCACCAGCGGCACGATCGT